AATTTAAAAATTAAGTTTTTGATTAGAAACTGAAATTCAAAAAATAAATTTACTAATTAATTCTTTCGATATTAATTCCATAAATTGGCACATCGTTTCGAACAAAATAATCAATATAAATTTCTTTATTATAAACTGAAAGATTATGCTTATTTGTAAGCTGATATTTTGCTGGGCCGAAATTGTTGGAAACTACACGAAGACCGACAAATTTAATTTTTTCCACCGTTTTTGAAGTGTCTTTTGATGTTTCTATATGCTTAAATTTAATAATTTTTAATAGAATTACCTATTTTTAAAAATTTCTTTTCAAAACACTTATAAAAATCATTAATTTTGATAGAGATTTATTAAATAAAAATTAACTACCCAAACTAAAAGTATCTTGTCGTTTTTGATAGACTACATATCGGAACCAAATTTAACTAGATTTGTAACACAAGGGTTGCATTTTTGGAACACCATGGGCCGTATTCAGAGAACGAGTTAAGGGTACCTGGTAAGTTTACCAGGTTCTTTTAGCCGGGTAATAGAACACCGAGCTGAGGGTTAACTCTTATTCAAAGAAAATCAACCCAGAACCCGATGCTTACCCGCAGCTGCGGGTTCTATTACCCGAGTAACAAACCACAGCTGCGGGTTACCCTTACCCTCATTTATGAATAAGGGTTCTGGGTTAACCCCTACGTCGTTTTCTGAATACTGCCCCATGTGTTCTTTAACATATAATACTCGTACTTTACATAAAATCCAATCTTTACCTGTACAATAAGGTCGTGAAGTAATACACTATAATTACAACAAACTTTGGAAAATTTATTTGCTCCATTTGTTAAAATTTTAAATATTTCATTTTCATTTTGGGCTTTCTCAGAATAAATTGAAAATTGATTAGAAATCAGATGATCCAATGTAAAGTTTACCAACTTTACAATATCCTTTTTCTCATTAAGTAAATAAGCTTTTCGAGAATGAATTTGTAAAGGTATATTTTTATTTCCATCAAATAATAATTCGATCATTAGAGGATTAAATACAGCTTCACGGAAACTAGCAATATCAAAGAAACATGTAAAAAGTTGTTCAAGTAAATAACGAGCAATTTTCATTTCTCTAATATTTTTTGGAAAGTTTGGAAATTTTGAGGAAAATGCTAAATAAAATTTAATAATTATATGTAAATAGATGGTAATAGTGACCAAAAAGTGGCAAAATGAGCTGAGTGCTGAGTCCGAATAGAGGTGCTGAGTACGAATCTGAACATAGCACTCGACTTGGCCCCGAATTCTACTTAGTCGAATTCGGGTCCGGGGTTCGAAAAAAATAAATTCTAAGTTCAAATTAGGACTCAGCACACTCAATTACGATTTGAAAGCCTCAAAAATATCGAAAAAGAATTTTTTACTCATTTTCCCTCTGGACCAATGATTATCAGTTACCAAATAGATTTTTTGGTTCCTTAAAAATCTTAGGACATCCGGAACCGGACACTAATTACAGCAACACTAATTGTAGGTTTACATTTATTTTCATATTAATAGCTACACAAAACTTAGTACCTCGATTTGATCCACAAACAACAATAATGTACATGTTTGTTTCAGAAACACTTGAAAACATGGGAATTGAATTTTCAATTGCCTCTTTCCACTAAAATTAATTTTAAACGAAAAATTAATTTTTAACCTTTTCCTCAAGTTGTTTACTCAATTGAAAGTCATGAAATTCAGGTTCTGTTTTAACAGATATAAAATAATAATATGAAAAGCCCACATAAGGATAGAGCTAAAGATAAAAATTAAAACAATTATGTAATTAGAGGAAATTACAATTTCGAGTCTATCAAATTTTTTCCGTGTCAATTGACTTTCGCATTCATTAATAAAATTTTTGAAGTAACGATTTGATTGTTTAACATTTAATAATTGATTTAAATTGAGATATTTAAATATATCTAGTTGAACGTCAGACGGAAGAAAATACATTTTAATACTATTAACTTTTGTCTGAAAAGAAAATAAGATTCTAAAAGCAGCGGTTTTATTAGGACTTTGTTCCAAGTTAACCGAGGTTATAAACCTATTTTTTAGTTCATAGTCAACATTTCGTTAATAACCATCGATTTATGCGGTCATTTATTAATAACAAGAGAAAAATGTATGAGACAGGAGCACTCAAAAACAAAAAAAGATGGCTGAATTGAAGGAAAATCCTTTGCTATTGGGAACTTTTTTAGAATTATGCATGTAAAAAATGATTTGTTCCGAGTTAAATGAAAATAAGTAGGGGTTTCAAAAAGTTCAAGAGAAAGTTTTACATATTTCAATTTTATTTGGTCAAAAAAATTTATATTCGGATAATAGCAGCACCCCCTTTTATTTTTCTTTCGTTTGAATAAGGCAAACAAAACAACTATTATGTAGGTCGGGTCATAATTAGTGTCGTTTTTTTTAATTTGGATTTTTTTGATTTTTAAAATTAAGCTTTTAGAAAATATTTTTTATTACGAATCATCTGTTTTATTTATTTATTTATTTATTCAAGAATAAAAATGACAATGAAAGGGATGGACACTTACATCATTGTCTTAATAAAATATATGATATTTGGTCAATAATAATAAATTAACTGAATAGTCAACATAAATAATCATAATGAAGGGATATTGATATACACAGATATACGACTAAGTTAATTGTAAAATTGCACTGGTGAGAAGTGAACTGCGTTACGTTTAACACCAGGCATGCAAGTCTGAAAAAACAGCAAAATAAATAATAGTAAATTTAATTTTAAGATTATTTTAGTCTAGATGTATATCTGTGTATTATTTTAAATAAAACATAAAAAAAAAACCTGAAAAAACAGCAAAATAAATAATAGTAAATTTAATTTTAAGATTATTTTAGTCTAAAATAAAAAAAAAATTTTTTTAATTAAAAATCCAAACAACTAAGAAATGCTAGAGTATAAAAAAGTACAAACAACAGCATAAGGAATAAATCGATTAGGCCACTTTGACGCCAAGCCCACTTAGGCGCAAAAAAAATAAAATAAATTAATTTGAATATTTAGGCGCGAAAATAAAAATAAATTAATTTGACCATTTAGACGCGAAAATTTAAAAAATTAATTGACCATTTAGTCGCAAGGTAATTTGATTTTGCCACTTAGACGCAAAGCCCATTTAGACGAAAAATAAAAGTTTATTTTTTTTTTTACTGTGTATTTTTTTGAGATAGAATGGATGAGTTTAATTAATTTTTTTTTTGTTCTAAAGGATCCCATCATTTGAATTTTTGGTTAGTATTCAGGGAGTTCTGATCGAAAATATCAAAGTTCCCGAAATCATCGGGAATCAAATTTTCTCAAGTATATGTAATGATAATAGTTACATATACTTGAGAATGGGGTTGTCGGTTTCACCAAATTCATCGGTTAACCGAAACCGAACCGACAAACCGAACCGAAACTTTCGGTTAACCGAAACCGAACCGACAAACCGAACCGAAATTTTCGGTTAACCGAAACCGAACCGACAAACCGAACCGAAAATCTTCGGTTTTTCGGTTCGGTTCGGTTTGAAACCGACAACCCTACTTGAGAAACTATATTTATTAACAACAAAATAATTTAAAGAAATTTTAATAATCTTTAAATGTTGTAATTTGTAGGCATTAGCCATTGAATATAAAGTTGTTTAGAAATGCGGTGAAGAATATGTGTAATACTTGTGAACATTTGAAGAAGGAATATTTATGTTGAATTAAATTTTTAACGTTAAAATTCAATGTTTTAATTAAAAATTAGAACTATATTTAATCCACAAATGATTGAATTATTATTTGCAAGTCATAAAATAATAATTCAATCATTTGTGGATTAAATATAGCTTTGTTAAATTAATAAGCAGGGTTATTATAGTATGTGGGAGCAAGAAACCGGATTCAAAATATATACCAATTCATTACAAGTAGCCGTAATTCTTCATTTTAGGCAGCAGGCGTAAATTTTAGACTGCCAGATATTTTGTGATCAACCTTAAAAAATATTCAAAATTAATGTGAAAACAAAGAAGTCGTGTTTGTACAGATGACAAAAGAAATAAAAAAAATATATGTATTATGACAAACAAGTTAAAGTAAAAAATAAATTTATCAATTAATTCTTTTAATTTCAATATCAGAAATTGGCTGATTTTTAATAACATAAATCTCTTTAATATAAACAGAAAACTTCAATTCTGGATTGTATTTATTGGAAAGTTGATATTTTGTAGATTTTAAATTGTCGTTGTCTAAATTGATTTCAATATTTTCTGCTATGTCACTTAACATAAGACATCCATAAACTTTATATAATTTAATTTCCTTCACTATTTTGGACATGTCTTTTGATGCTTCAATAGACTAAAATAGATTGGTTTATTTTTAATTAAAAATCAAATTGCCGGTTGTACCGAATAGCCGAGAACTTTTGGATTAGATTTCGGAATTCGGTTATCTGAATAATTTCCAAGAATCAACAATCAATGTCTAAATAACCAATATTATCGGTAATTCTTCGGTTCATACCGCCCACTCTTTTTCTGACCATTTTTAAATTTTTCCTTCCCTTTCGCCCTTATTTTTCATTAGGCAAGTATTAAAAAGATGAACACGTCTACTGGGCTGTACCCATCAAAAAGGATTAGTAATATTTATTTACTTTTTTAGCAGGATAAAAAAGAGAAACATGGTACCATGAAGAAGTCCAAGCTCTTCGAACCAAGCATCGAAATCGTTTCGCTTAATCCTAGTTTGCCACCAAAATATATGTTAAATTTCTTAGTTGCTTCATATTGGTTATTGAATGATTGTAAATGAGTTTTTCCAGAACTTTTCTCATGCATAACCTTTTTGATACTTGCCTCGTGAAAAATAAGGGCGCTAGGGCGCAAGGAAAGGAAAATGAAAAAAAGGTCAAAAAACGGTGGGAGGTACGAACCGAAGAATTACCGATTATCTAATTACCTGTATAATAAGACTGTAAAGTTCTAGAAGAGCCGGATGCCTGTAACAAACTTTAGAAAATTTATCTCCTCCGTTTTTCAGAATTGTAAATAAAACATTCATGTAATCCTCTACATTAACGGCATCATCAAAATAAATATTTAATTGATTAGAAGTAAGATGATTTAATACAAAATTTAAAAGACAAGAATGGAAATAATCTTTGTAAATAAACAGATTAGACTTTTGTGAATGAAGTTGTAAAGGTTTATTTGCTTTGGTTTCATCAAATAATAATTCAATCATTTGTGGATTAAATATAAATTTATTCAATTCAAAACATTTAATGACACGGTTAAAAAGTTGTTCAAATAAATATCGAGCATTTTTCATTTCTTGGATACTTTTTGGAATGATAGGATATTGTATATAGAGTCCTAAATAAAATATTGATTAAAAAATAAGGTAATTTTGAAGTTCGTACCCCCCCTCTACCTCCCTCTCTTTTTTTCTTTTTCAAGGTATTAAAAATGGTCAATTCCTTATTTCCTAAACTCCACTTAATTTTCCTATGGTATACAATCAGTAGGGATGGGAAAATATGATTAAGAACCGGTCCTAAAATGCTCAGACCAATGTAAAAACACCATTTTTGGGCTTCCCACATCAAGGCATATCCGCTTACAAAATATGCATTTGCATGTTTTTCCCATCCCTAACAATCTGTCAATAAAGGATTACCAGTTTTACATTTGACATGCATATTCAATATGAGGAATGAGAAGAAAAAGTAAAATTTTTAGCCTTTTAACTAATAAATTTATTGAAAAACTTTTGGAAAATTATTTTGGAAAAAATTCCAGAAAAAAGTCAAAAAAATTCAGAAAATTTTCTGAGTGACGTAAGTATGGAGATTTATAATTAATATACTAATAAACCGAATATAAAATGATTATAACTTCGAATAAGTTTTCCTTGTTTGAATTCGTAACCATGTTCAAATAAAAAAATATCTTGATTTACGTCCTCAAAACCACAACCCAAAAACATTGGAATTGAATTTTCTATTCCATCCATCCACTAAAATTAATTTATTTTAAAATAAAAATATTCATTAACCTTCATTTCAAGTTGTTCGCTTAATTGAAAGTCATAAAGTTTAGGGGAGGGTTTAACAAATTTAGGAGTATTTGAATTCTTCTCGATCGAAAGCTTAAGAAAAAATTTTTTTTTAATACTAAATTTACAATTACAGTTTTAAATGTTTTCATCAATGCCAATACATCCTCATATTTATTTATAAAATTTTTGTAATAAATATTTATTCGTTGAATATTTAATAATTGATCGAAATTGAGATATTTGAATATATCGAGTTGAACTTCTGGTGGAAGTAGATTCATTTTTATATAAACCTTTTCTGAAAAAAAACAGAATTTTAAACGAGACTGGATTCTGTGCTAGATTTTAAAGGATTAAACTTCTCACTATAGCTATCCCCAAAACTGAAGATTCTCCTGAACAAGGAATTCACAGATGCGATTTTAAACTAACCAGACTATAAAAACGACTCCACCCCAGAATATCTACACCCTAAATATCTACACCCAAAATATCGAATGACCCTAAATATCTACACCCAAAATGACGAATTACCCAAAATATCGAAAATTTTTAAATTTCATAATTGTGTATTCCAAGTATGGAGAAGTCTTTTTAACAAAGGGGAATTGCTCAAACAATGGAAAAAACATAAATCTGATCAATATGTTCAATTAAAGAGAGTGATCGATCTCCAAGTAGAATCTTGATTGGGGCTATTGTCAGTTCGATCGCTTCTCTGTAGTTGGAATACTTCCCAGATGTTGGAACAACATTCCCGATCCTTAAAATACACAATTATGAAATTTAAAAATTTTCGATATTTTGGGTAATTCGTCATTTTGGGTGTAGATATTTAGGGTCATCGATATTTTGGGTGGCGATATTTAGGGTGCGATATTTAGGGTGCGATATTTAGGGTGTCGATATTCTGGGGTGATCCCCATATTCTCCTACTAAAAGAATGTCTAGGTCACAGTTATAGATGCAAACTACACTTTTAAAATAAACATATGTATAAAACAGAAAAACTCCCTCTCTCAACTAATTTATAGATTTTTTAGTAAATTTATTTTCTGATTTAGCAAATTCAAAGATGATTCCAATATTTTACTAGATTTTAAATTTGCAAGCAATTTTTTGTTCGAAGTTTCTCCATTGTATTTTTTAATAATTTTATAAATTAAAGACCTGTTTAGTTTATGATTTTTCGTTGAATTCTTTTTAGATTAAAAAAGTTTAAATAATAATGTATTTTCTTCCATCAGAAGTTCAACTAGATATATTTAAATATCTCAATTTCAAGCAATTATTAAATGTTCAACTAATAAATGGTTACTTCAAAAATTTTATTAATGAATATGAAGAGGAATTGGCACGGAAGAAATTTGATAAACTAAAATTTGTAATTTATTCTAAAATTTATCTTGTCACTTTTTTAGGATTCTATAAAAGCTTACAATTTAAATAGCTACATATTTGTCAAACCAGAACCTAAACTTTATGAATTTGAATTGAGTAAACAATTAGAGAAAAAGGTTTATAATCTTAGTGCATATTTTATCATAAAGAATTTTAGTGGAGGAGTGGTATAGAAGAAGCAATACCTATGTTTTTACGTGCTTCTGATATGGACAAACGAGACATTTTTTGCCAAATTGAACAGAGTTGCTTTTATGAAATAGAACATGATTATGAAATGAAAAAAGGTTAACATATCAGTACTGAGTAACAAATGAGCTGTACCCATCAAGCTTGACTTAAATAAAACAAATAAACTTTCATTCATTCGATTTCGACTCCGACCAGGACCACTGTTTTCCAGGCCGGGGGCATGATTTTGATAAACTGAATGCATTTGCACGCTTTTCGAGGTTTTAACCACCATCCCGATACTGGGCCCGACAATTTAAATAGGTCGAATTCTAGTTCTAATTTTATTTAGAATTTTGTTTACCTTTTCCAAATCGTCCAAAAAATATTAAAGAAATGAAGATTGCTCGTTATTTACTTGAACAACTTTTTAACTGTGCTTATGAATCTGCTGATTTCAGTTCTATTATATTTAATCCGCAAATGATTGAACTGTTATTTGATGAGAATAAAACAAATATACTTCCACAATTTCATTGTCAAAGGACTGAACTATTTATTAAAAATGCGACTGAATGCTTTTTTAAGTTTACTTTGGATTATCTAATTTCTAATGAATTGACTGTAAATTTTGGGATTTTTCTAGATATAGACAAAAATGAAATGGATCTTTTATTTAAAATTTTGACAAATGAAGGAAATAAATTTTACAAAGTCTGTTATGGATGTCAATGCTTGACAGAACTTTGCAAGCATATTATAAAGGTAGGAGGTTGATAGATTTTGGCTGGTTTTTTATTGTCAGTGAAATCTCTTAAAAGGTACGCGCAAAGAGGCGCGCGGCCATAATAGCGAAAAATTTTGGAGATTCAAAATTCTATCTGGCAAAAATATAGATAATATGTATAACATTAGATTAAATGCTAAATAGGATCATTTTATATAATTCATTTTCTTGAGTCGGATCGAACTTACTGCATTTTTTGTCTTAATTTGGGCGCTCAACCAACTAAGTCATACTCCCTATCTGAAACCCTAGTTGCTTCAAGTTCGTTATATCAAGATTTGGCATTATTATTAGAACCTTTTGAAATAAATTAAAGGAATAATTTTAAAAAATAATTTTAGTATATAGAAACATCAAAAGATATTTCTAAGATGGTGAAAGAAATTACATTTGAAGACATATGCGGACATTTTACTTTAAGTCAAAGAGCAAAAAATATTAAATGGGAAATAAAAAGATATTCTAAATTCGTAAATTATCAACTTTCCAATAAATACAATCCAGAAATGAAATTTTCTATTTATCATAAAGAGGAATATGGAGGTTTTTATGTTGAGCTTAAGGGAATTAATTGACATATCACTTTACTTTTTATTTGATTTAAAAATTTCTTTAAGATTTGTCTTTTTAATAAACACATATACCTATATCTGTTGGGTATCACGACTTTTGCGCCGGGAACATTTGCGCCGCGACTTTTGCGCCGCGACTTATGCGCCGGGCGACTTTTGCGCTGCGACTTTTGCGCCGCGACACATGCGCCGGGCGACTTGTGCGCCGCGACTTTTGCGCCGGGCGACTTTTGCGCCGCGACATTTGCGCCGCCATAATTGAAAAAAATAATATCTACAGTCGGACCTAATTATAGTGTACTCCTTAAAAAATGGTACCCAGGAGCTGAAGAAATTCCAGGAAGCACAATATTTCGAGAAGTACAATAGCCCCCTCTAATAAACCACCCCCTAGAGTAAGGTTGAAAAATAAACCGACCCCCTAGAGGGGTCATCTTCAAAGGACGTAACTTTTTCAAATCAGGATATTTGGTCTGCTGCCTCTATTCAGGCATGATTTTCTGTCATAAGAGGGTGCACTATAGTGTAGGGTTGTCGGGTCCAGATATCCGGATCTGAAAAAGGCCGGATAGCCGAAAATTTTAGGTCGGATATCGGATCCGGATCTTGATATCCGAAGATTTCAACTATCCTACATCTTCTATAGCGAGATCAGGCTGTAGTTTTTCATAATTATTAATGATAGCGGCGGCGCAAAAGTCGTCCGGCGCAAAAGTCGCGGCGCAAAAGTCCCCCGGCGCAAAAGTCGCGGCGCAAAAGTCCCCCGGCGCAAAAGTCGCTCGGCGCATAAGTCGCGGCGCAAAAGTCGCGGCGCATAAGTCGCGGCGCAAATGTTCTCGGCGCAAAAGTCACGGAACCATCTGTTGGAATTTGAGTCCTTGAAATAAAATATTATGTTTAAGCAAAATTTATTTTTTTCTACATTTTTAGAGTATAACCAAAATATTTTTAGAGTATAACCAAAATAAGCAAATTTCTAAACTTTATTTCTAAAAAACTAAAAAAAATTTTCGGTTTGTAAAAATATTTTGCTAATCTAAAGGTTGACAAATGAAATAAAATGATTTAAAATCATACAAATTATTTAAAATATCTAAAACGTGTAAAGAATAAAATGATTTTTTTACTAGAAATTACCAAAAACTAAAAAATGAAATTTCTTGTTTTTGTTAAAACATATGGTTTAACATAATCGGTTTTAAACCAAAGAAATTTTTGATATTTCTTGTTAAAAATTAGCCGTTTTTATGAAATTTCAAAAAGAAATAATTTTTGAGAATGCGATTTTTCAAAAAAAATTCCTCACAAAACAAAATCAGTACCTATTTATCTGAAACTAA